TTGGTGTTGCGCGACAAACGATTTGCGGTGATTTCGATTGGATATTCCTTTCATCGTTTTGTAACCTAATCGATTGCAGTGTCAAAAAATCTGGTAAGATCCTATTTGTAATTATGCAAATTGAGCAGTTTTGCATTCAAGGCTTAGCTTTGGTTTTAGATTCACTAGATCTATTGCATTACATCACTGTGTAAGTACACTCTGTAAGTCACACTCTGTAAGTCACACTCTGTAAGTACAGGGTGAGTCAGTGATAGAGTAGAGTCCATTGTCTCAAACCGTTTTATTTGCCAGGCTATATACAGAGTGTTTTCTAATTGAATGTCAATAATAAAGTGGACGATTTCAAATTTTCGAAAGCCCTCGATAGGCCCAAGAAAATTGTCATATTCATTTCTCCTTCAAAGTGGCGAAGATCTGAAACTGGCGTCAAGCTCTGAAGAGGCTATGATTGGCGAAACGTCAGCAAGTTAGATTCATGAACAAGGATGGACGCAGGATCATCCCAGAGGATTTGTAAATGGCTGCATCATTTAAATCAGTCGTCCTGTTCCTTTTTCTGGTAACTTTATTATGTTATCATTGGACTTTAAACGGTTTTTTTTATTGTTCCAAGAGTAGATAAACTATAGTACGAACCCATTAAATGCGTAATCCTCAAATTAGGAATATGGATATAAGCCCAAGCTATGCTCACAAACACACAAAGAGCCTAACGATTTTGTAAACAACACCGAACTACATCAAAGGAAGTCCATGTCAAAATAAATAAAATCAATTTAAATAAGAAATTTCTGTCAAAGTAAAGCTATCGTGAAACTTACCAATCTCCTTAACTCATCTTATGTCTGAGGTAAGCTTCCATCAGATGAGAGCATTTTCGTTATTTTGGCCTTGATTGATAGAACGTAAAGGGGAGGTTTGTTTACAGAGGAAAATGCTTAAAGATCGTTAGGAATTTTAAAAATATTACTAAACACCTAGTTTTTCTCATGGCATTTTAATTCTTTTTTTCTGGAGTTATAGGTCTAGAAGTTTTCGAGACATGCTCGGTAGCGTCTCTTAACTACATACATTTTAAGAACGAACCATGTAGAATTTGGTTTACCAACCTAATTGGAATTTTCAAATAAAGGCAGTTAGGAAAGTAAAGGGTGATTCAATAAGGGCTTCCACATTAAAATAATGAAAAAAAACTCGGAAGAATATAAAAATATACAAACATTTTTATTTGGCATTTTAGATTAGTGTATTACAATTAGGTATGAAAGATGATGTCATTCAAATGACCCCCGCGATTCATGTGGCATGACGTAATTCGTTTATTGAAATTTCCTATCACTGACACAATTCAGGTTCTATGCCGGCTATTTCGCGTTTAACCTCCTGTTTCAGCTCTGGAATAGTGTTTGGTTTATTTCTATACACTCTGCTTTTTAGCCACCCAAAAAAAAATCTAGGGGAGTAAGATCACATGATCGCGGCGGCCAATTTATATCACCGTTACATGAGATAATCCGACCAGGTAACTTGCCCCGCAGCAATTGCATCGTTTTTCTGGATGTGTGACAAGTCGCTCCATCCTGTTGGAACCACAAATCTTCAATGTCCATACCTTCCAACTGCTCACTGTCACTTTTTGAGGATGCATTGCTTTTTGAACAATCTCTCTTGGATTTTCTAATCCCCAAATACGAGCATTGTGTTTGTTTACAAAGCCACCAACGTAAAAATGTGCCTCATCGCTAAAGATGATTTTCGTTGAAAAATGAACCCCTTGTTTTCGTATCCATTCTGCAAACACGCGGCGCTGTTGATGAACTCGAGGTTTCAACTCCTGAGTTATTTGGACTTTATATGAGGTTAGTTACAGATCCAGTTTGCTCAAATTTTTGAACCACATTCCAAATTGTCCTCTCAGAAGGTCGATTTTGCGCGCCGAAAAATTCACGTAGAGCCCGAAATGCATTTTATCTTGATCGACCATTTTCATAATAGGCTTTCACAATTTTTGCACGTTGTTCAAACGTATATTGCTCCATAACTAATTTTGTTTATGTTTTGAGGATAGAAATCTCATATGATAATAAACAAATACAGCAACGTTTCAAAAATATTTCAGATTGTAATGTGGAAACTCTTATTGAATCACCCATTAGATACCAGAGTGACAGGTTATGGGTACCAACTGGAATCAAATAGTTTTATACACTTAACTGGTAGAAGCGGTTGAAATTTTAATTTGAAATTTAATTAGTCGAAGTGATTAGTAACACAAATAAAAAAAAAAAACAAAAAAAAATATTGCCATTGAAATATCATAAAATATTCTAATTAGTGAATCTGGGCCCTCAAGGTCTATTCCATATTTTGTGTTCGGCCCAAATCGGACAACAGAAGTGTATGTTTTGTAAGTTTCTTTTGCCCAACAGTATCACTATGACACCAAATGGGTATGCCACTGTCAGACTGACAATCGCCATCATCAAATAATTCAACGTTGCCCAATGACCGCCATATGGTTGCGGCAAATATTTCATGTGTGTAAACATGTTTAAGCTGTGTATTTTATACTTTGTATCAAAGTATATGCAAAGGATATCGTCTTTTTTGGAGTGTTCTACAATATTTGTCAATGTAGCTTAGCATAGCTAGCATTATGGATTTAAGTTTACTTTGTCTCAAATTATATCTTCTTGGCTTACTAGTGAGTTGCATAGGACAGAACATCAGAGGCAAACTTTTACGGTGTTTTAAAATATAGAGATTTAATATTCTATTATGTTTATTTACTTATAATAAAATCACATTAGTACTAGTAGAAATAATTACTTAAATTATTACGTTTCTGCTCAAAATTTAATTGTGTGGCACTCCCTCGTTAAGATTAATTACAATGGGCTTTATGTTATTTTATGTGCAGATGTAAAAATCTTCCAATTTTAAAATGCACCGTTCCGCATTGTTCCAAATCTCAACAAGTTAAATTATTAATTACATTTTTAATTAAATTTATCACAGTCAGATTTAACGAGAGTAACATTTTCTGCTCCCACGTTTGATTTTACTTGGTGCCACAATTGTTATATTAAGTTGAATATACAATGATAATATGGCAACACGTAAAACAGTATACCACATCTGTTCAGCTAAACTATCATATACGCATTGTTTCTTAATAACATACGAACTTAACACTTCCAAAAGTTCCCCTTCCTCGTGACTGGATTCAAAATAAATATTATTTTGTAACAAATATTTTCAGTTTTGGACTTGATGAATTTGGTGAACCAGTTTTTAAATACAACTCGTTGACAACAGCAATTTGGAAGAAATCCGAAACTTCGCAGAATCAGCGTGAATAATGGCGATGCGTTTTCTTTTTTTTGTGAGCTTTTGTCTGTCAGTCTTTACTGGTATCAAGCCATCCCTTGGGCATTGTATCGCATGTATTGAACCAAGTTTCATCTTAAATTGTGCACATGTTTTTAAATCTGCATTTTTTAATTTGCCGAAAATAATTAAATCTCCAAGTTCGCAATCTACCACTACAACATGTTTTTTGTCTATTTTGCGGTTTTTAAATCCCATTTTACAAATGACTCTATGGCACAGCTAATACTTATATTCATTTAATTTTAGCCAATAATGAAAAACCGATAATGAGATTTTTTCATACAGAGACTCTCACACCTCACAATCAAAACAAAGCAAAGCAATTTTGTCAAAATGTAACCTAAACAAACTTGTTAGTCATGTTTGCAGCGATGATTAATAATAGGAGTCTGTTTTGATAAGTGGAAGATATTTTCCTTCTTAACATGCATTTACTATTACCACGTTTTTTCATTCATTTGATAATTCACTATTAACACAATGCTTTATAGAGTATATTGGCGTTGTTGAAATTAGGCAAGTTTCGTTTAAAACTTCTTGTTTAATGAATCCACTACTTACTAAACATTCATACACATTTTTAATAATCTGTTGTGCATCTAATGAATAAAATATTGGATGTTTAGTTTTGGGTAGTTTAGAGTTGCTATGAAGATCGTAATTACCTTTTGGGAGAGTATCCGTCACAAGCTATACCTTAGGACATACTTTACAAGGCACAAAAATCTTAGATTGTTATTAGATTGCGCCACAACACTAACGAATCAAGTTGAACCGATCTTTGTTTACGTCATTTAAATATATGCAGTTTAATTAAACCTTAAAAACATTTGAAAATGAGCTTGAAATTGCTGCTAAAGTGTCAGCGAAAATGTGAAGTTTGCTTTGTTGAGCGATTCTTCCAGCGTCATCTACGTTCTAAGCGGCGAATTCCGTGTGAATCAATCAGAATTTATTTGGGATTCTCAACGGTACAAGGAATGCAATCCAATCTAGAGTGAACCGAAAGTTTTCGTAGATGATGTCGAAAACAAAATCACTACCAAACATTGAACAGCAATACTGAAAGAAATTATTTTGTTGGGTGTGAATTTATGACATTTGAAATGTTCGTGTTAAAAATTGTATTTGTAGTAGATAAAATACGAAGTCTACAGGAACAATTTCTTACATATTTGAAATTATTAAACAAAGGGTTGGACGATTTGGCAACTCGGCACCATGGCAAACCATTTTAACTGATTTATGGCAGCATATTATAGTAAACTTTTGGAACAATTGCTCTGGAATATCAGACTGTAACTGTTGGAACAAGTAGTTAATTTAATTATATGAGAATTTTCGTATATAGTAAATTTTGCAGGTGAGTTAATATATAACATTTACTTTTCATGATTCAGCCAATTGTTTCAGAGATTTAAGGAATTGAAAGTTTGCTTGATTTAATTTATTTTCAATTTACCCTATAAAAATCCAAGTTCCGTCCGTGCCACGGCTTTCTGTAAAAAAGTTTATGCCACCTTCCCAATCGTTTATTCAGCTCGCCGCAGTGGCGACCACAAAAAGGATAAAATAATAATAACGCTTCCTTGTCACGATTCCAGATTGGTGACACGCCAAATCCAGAGTTGAGAATCATCACTAGCGTCTTTAACAAAGTTCAATATAAAGGTGAGTCGATTTTGAATTTTTAATAATGTAGTTTGAATAATAGTTTTAGCGATTTTTGATTCTATTTTTTTTACATTTTCGCTTAGCAGTGAAATTGTCATAGTCAACTATATTTTGGAAAGGTTATTAGGTAGGTATAGAGGGTTAATAGAAAACATTAGCTTTTATAACAGGTATAATAGTTTTATATATAGTGCATCCAAAACGTTTCCGTTACTTTATAATTAAAACCTTGGATGTTAGTTAATTTAGGTAAATTGAAATGTTTTACAGCTTTCCCTTATTACAAAACTCTTTACTCTTAAGATTTGATATATATTGAGATAACTTATTCCGTTAAAGTCTAAGCACCTAATAAATAATAAATATTCTACAGTTTATATGAGACCTGGAAAAAATTTAAACCAATATAATTACGTCGCCTAGCAGTACTCCAAATTAAGTTTGTAATAAAGCCTGATTTCTATACGACTGGATAATGAATTTTCCTCCCAATCACAAGTTAAATATTGCTTTTTTATATGCGGTGAAGAGCTAATAGTGTTATTTTTCAAAAAGACGCCCAATTATTAAAACTGAAAATAACATTTTTTTTTCAACCTATATAACGAAACGAAAAATTAAATTTCAATCAACCTTTGATTAAACGAGATTACATTTTTGTTTTTCTTTCCAGTGAATGATTGGAAGTTGTTTCTATTTCCAGATTTTTTTGGCATAACGGCATTGAGCGCGGAAAACATTGGAGCTATAATCCCTTGCCTATATTTTATAACAAGATTTTAAAAATTTCACACAATTAACCGTCCAGGTTTTAAAAAAAAAATCATAGTCAGCATCCATAATAGAACTTCCCAATCACCATATGCCAAAATTAAACCATTTAAATAATTTAAGCAATAGAAAGCAAATAATATCTTCCAATGATAAATCTTCGCATCAGGCTGAAATCATCTCGGAGTTTCGCCCTTTCAAACCCACTGTTATTTCTTGTGTATAATTGAGATACTGTAAAATTCATGCGTTTGCAGACGACATTAAATTATTGTTCGGTCTATAACGCCTTCTCAGGATTTGCAAACTTCAACTCAATTCTCCAAACCCTCTGAACCCCACAACATCTTCATGAATACTGGATTGATATAAGAATAAGAAAAATATGAAGGAAAATTTATTATTTTGATTGATAGCACCAGGCTAAGCCTTCTTGATAATGCATAGCTGGATTAGAAGGTAAAAAAAATCTGCCGTCGTATGTCGGTCAAGACATAAAATAACAAAAATTTAGGAAACACTTGTGCGAGTCTCTTTTCGTATCAAACATTTATTATTGTAATTCTTCCTATGTCTCTTTATAAGAGAATGGCGCAAACTTCAAGACCAATGTGTAGGTTTTGTGTGTTTTTGTGCGCGATGACTTAGGATGAAGAATCGTGGAGGATTAAATTTTTGCAATGCTGTGTCTTCGCAGTATAATATTGCAAGCAACTTAATACCTAGATGAATGTGAATATTAATACATTTAAAAGTAAGTATAAAACAACTGATGAATTGATGTTTCTGCAAAACAAAGAATAAATGGCAATAGCAGATGTTCTACATTTTTAAAGCTTGTTTTGCTCTATTTTTAAACAAACTGGTGCTATGGAGTAGCTAATTGAATTTAGTAAAACGTATTATTGAAAATAAGTTGGTTGTTATAAGTCATAACAAACATTAATCTTACAATTAAACCAACTAAAAAACTGGTCTAACATATCATCAGAATTTCAAAAATATGGAAATGAATTAAACCATTAAGGCAATTTAACCCATGTCAAAAATTAAAAAATTAAAAAATTCACACAGTCGAATGAGGTTCCAAACATTAACTACTATTTAACGGCACTTTGTGGCACTCAGAAACGATAAGCGTGCTGGATTGCTGTTGCTCCACTTTACAAGAGCTTTAGAGGTCCCAATATGCTGTTCACGAGAGTCTTTACAACAAATAAATATAACGGTTATGTTTAATATATTTCAGAAAAGTGTAGAGTATTAGAGTAGGAAATTCGGTCCAGTTTATGCCCAATTTTGGGGTCGGCCATAGTCGTAGGTATACTTTTTATAATAAAAACATATTTGATCCCCATTGAAACTAGGCCGTGTTGTCATTTTTGACAACTTAGCATCTTGCCTAATATTGCACCGAAAGATATAACTGAGCCTGTCGCTCTGTTAACGCGAACAGGGAATTTGAAAAGAAGGTTTCTTAACCTTTCAGATGCCACACGCGGGAGATTACTAAAGGACATGAATTCATTGTTTTTGAAGCTAACAAAAAACTAATCAAAATGTTATATTACGCACGGAATTCATTTTTGGATGCCGATCTGTAACCAATGTAAGATGGTAGAAATGTTGGTTTCGTTTTACCTTGTATAATCGTAATTTGTGGGGCCCCACAATAAGTAAAATTCCTTCGTTAATTTTTAGATGAAATTACCCTTTTGCCTTTTTATAAAAGTACATTTAAAAAATATATATATTTCATTGATTCAAGGTAAATTGATAAATTAGTAGAATAGAAAAAATTAAAAAACTGTTTTGTTGGGTGATGCTTCTGGAAAGAGTAAACTTTGGTACTCCACTTTCGCTGTTGAAGAATTGATTATAATAGTCAGTATCCATAGGCGTGCATTGGAAAGTGACATAAGTATTCCTTCTGTCGCTCTATAGCTCCTTTTGGAAACTTGGAAACTAAACTGTAGAGCTAACCTACAGTGTAGCGGATTTTTTATGGTGCACGATAGCTAAATAATAATTGAAAGCAGATTAACGTTTCCGATTGTGAAGTGTGCGGGAGCCTGCGTGGCATGTGAGCAATAAATCGCGAAAAACGAGCCGCTTCGCGTTATCCCCGGCGAGCCGTCGCGTCTCTATCTGTACGTAAATCACGGCATCGCCGAGCGCAGATAGCGGACGCTCTTAGCCCGACAATAAACAACGCGACTCACAGTTCCGGACGTCGTTTTTCATTGTGCTTCTGCCACGCCGCCAACCGGACAAGGATTCGCTCGTTGTTGTTTTTTGTTTCTGGCGTTTAGAGCGCGCCGCCGATGGTTAAATAAAAACATTACATAATCCACAACACAACATTGCAATGGTGCAGTTCCATTCAAATTACAATAAATATTTTCGAATTTGCTAGTATCTTGTGTAGAAACTTATTAAAATATGTGCATTATTTAAAATAGAAATTAAAAAAAAAAATGAAAGAACATTTGGTTATAACGTGCGATGGATCAGTTGAAAACAATTTCATCTTCTCTAATTAAAACCGAGATTAACACTGTTTTTTATGGTGTTGCCCAAACAGGAATTGAAATATGCAACTTTGAAATTGGGTACCAGTTTTTAGTGGACGTTAGTGTATTACAATGCACATATATCGAAAATTTTATATACAATATGTCCTAGATTTACTTCACTGTATAGAGATCTCTTATTATACCCACAGTTAGTGATGAATAAGGAAAGATTTAGAGGAAACTTAGTGCATTGGTGGGAAATATCGCCTGTAAATTTAAACAGGTTAAATTTACAGCCATCAAAATGGGACATTGCTCAAACACTTTTGTGAGACAAGTAAGATGTCTATGTCTCAATCGTCTGTTGTTATCCCGCAACCCGCCCTAACTTTCATTTTTCTTATAGTGCCATATTGGATTTTTCAATTTTCCGAAAGAGGAAAATTTGAAGTGCAGTGATGTTTAATAAGTGCTCAATAGATTTTATCACAGTTCGTAAAGTTAGGTCTTAATTACTTTTAAGTGGATCACGATTTATGTAAAATTAACATTAATAAGTAACGCTTAAAAAAACACATAAACGCTTTGAATTTTCAATATAACATCATCGTAAAGGACGACTTAACAAATCAGACGTTTTGTGCAAACTACCGACTGTGTTTTTTTTAAAGAAAAAGTCAAAAAAGCCTTGATAATTTAATAATAAATAATTTACGAGTAATATAATGTAATAGTATATTATGCATCAAGTGTGGTCAACGACGTTTGAGTTAACCAGAGGTCAAAATTCAAACCGTGCGGTAATATCTCCGAAGTGGCTCGGATCCGTGAGAAACGAAACTGATGTGGTAAAAGGTAAAAGGTAAAAGGTGTTATTTGCCACCCAAATAAACAAAACTAACCAATACTGTGTCAAATAAATCATGATCTACTTATAAAATAATTAAGACCCAACTTTACGAAGTGTGATCAAAATGTTTATTCACTCAAAAAATCCAATATAACGACTATGAGAAAAATGAATATTAAGGCGGGTTGCGGGATAACAAACGACGATTGAGACATGCCATACACGCTATCTTACTCGTCTAAACAAAGTGCCCGAATAATGTCACGTTTTGACAGGTATCAATTTAACCGTTGAAGATATGGCGAAAAACGAAATCTGCCATTTTCAATTTTTCGAAAATATATCTAGCAAAGCAATTGACCGATCTTAAACCTGAGGTTTATCAAATTCACTAAGTGTCCTGTAAAACTTTTCCTATTTAACCTTTGCTGTAGGTATAATAAAAGCGGAAATCCCTGTATAGAGAAGCGAATCTTTGACATATTGAATTTTTACTCGTAGGTCATCTCTCTCTATCATAATTTTGAGTTGTTTGTTGAGAAACTTTGGAATAAAATAACGAGATTCTTGGGTGTAACTAGCGTCTTCTAGGAAAAAAAATAACATGCAATTTTATTCCTCATCTCAAAATTCCCCTCGAGTCTGATGTCGATATCTCAAAAACAGGTTGTGCTATAAAATAATCAATTCGGAGGACTAAATTTTAACACCCCTTATCTCTAAGTAGTGCCATTTTAGAATATCTTCACGAGTGTAATTACGAACGCCCTATATGAAACGAATATTATAGCCTAATAAACAATACGAGACCAATAGGCAAGTCGTACCTAGCTACAGTTTATAATCTTATTTCTTGATAA